AATAATAATAATAATAATAGTAGTAATAATAATAATAATAATAATAAAAATAATAATAATAATAATAGTAATAATAATAATAATAATACTAATAATAGTAATAGTAATAGTAATAATAATAATAATAATAATAATAATAATAATAATAATAATAATAATAATAATACTTATAATAATGTGTTCAACAATGCTGCAAGACCAAAAGCTTATTTCACAATGTGGATCATGCTGAATCAAAGGCTGATTACAATGGATAGACTAGCTCATTGGGGAATTGAAGTAGAGAAGATCTGTGTGATGTGCAAGAATGAAGAAGAAACTGCAGAGCATCTGTTTATACAATGTAATTATGCAAGAGGAATATGGGAGAGATTGTTAAGCTCAATAGAGAGACAAACTGAAGCTCCAATGACTTGGGAACAATTTGTACAATGGTGCATTATGCATGGAAAAGGGAAGAGGGCAGCTGCACAACTGTTCAAAGCTATCCTTGTTGAAGGTATCTATGGATTGTGGATGGAGAGAAATAATAGAATCTTTGATCACAAGAGTAGAGATGAGGAACAACTTGTTAAAGAGATAGTCTACATTACTATTGTTAGAACTCAGCATTCGGCAGATAAGTAGTTAGTAGTGTAGGTAGAGTTGTTGAGTCTGTTTTTTACTTGGAGTAAGGTTGAAGTATGCTGTGATAGCTACTTTGTTTGTATGGTTTTGTTCTTGGTAATTAATAAAATGTAGTTACCAAAAAAAATAATTATAATAGTGAAAATGGCGAGGGGAAGAGGAAGAGGACAAGGAAGAGGCCGGAAAACATCACTATTGACAGTTGGTAGCTCAGTCAGTGCTCGGGTGGAAGCAATAGAGGTAAATGAACAGGACCAAGCTCAAAATGAAGAAAGAAATCTGAAGAAAGAGTTGCTGTGAGCTCCAAAGTATCTAGAAGATTGAGCTTAAATTCTGCATCGGAAAAGGAGGAAGATCATGAGAACTCAAATCTAGTGCAATTAGAAGCTGAGAGCAAAGTGGAAGGCAATGGAACAATAACTAAGAAGAAGGATGAGAATACTAAAGATGCTGAAAGTAATGGAGGTAGTGGAGAGGAAATGAGCAAGGATAACAAAGAACCCTGGGTTAATATGTTTAAGAATAACTGCGCAGCTAATAATGGTATGCAGCTGGCTTACTTTCCACCACAAATAGTTATTGGAGAAGCAATGGTTCAGCTGGAAGAGAAAGAGGTTCAGGATGAAGAAGATAGGTGGAAATGTGCACTAATAGCATATGTAGTTGGAGAATGCCCAGGGTACAATGCCATGAACAGGTATATCATGATGAATTGATCAAATGTAGGCAAACCAGATGTATTTTTACATGAAGAAGGGTATTACATAATTAAGTTTAAGAATCCATGTGATATGAATGAGATTATATACTATGGGCCATATACTATAAGCAATCGACCTATTATATTGAAACAGTGGTGCTCTGATTTTGATTTTGGAAAGGAGTTCTTAGATGAAATTCCTCTATGGGTTAATTTTCCAATGCTACCTCTTAATTGTTGGGGAGTGGGATCATTGAGTAGAATTGCAAGTGCTATTGGTGTGCCATTATTTGCTGATGAATGTACTACAAAGCAAACAAGAATTCCCTATGCTAGAATGCTTATTGAAGCTAATGTGACTAAACCTATTCCACAGCAGATCACAGTTATGGATCCAAATAGAAGAACCTTCATGCAGGAAGTTGTGATAGAGTGGAAGCCTCAATACTGTGATAAATGTCAAAAGATTGGACATCAATGTCAATCAGTAACACAGGAGGAACTGCCAAAGAAGAGAAAGCCTTTGAAAAAAGTAACACAGAGTTGGCAATATAAAGGGCCAATTCAGAAGCAGGAGAGGAAAGATGATCAAAGGGAGATGCCAGTAATATATGAAACTAATGCACAGAAGGAGAAACAAGAGATAGACAAAGGAGAGGAATAGGAAATCAAACAAACACCTGAGCTTAATCTAAGGCCTTATACTGGAAGTAAGCATCTGGATTTCATTCTATCAAATTTTCCTATGGTTTCAGCTATACCAATTAGGAATGGAGGTGGAGCCTTAAAGACTTGTTAATGAAGTGGAGTGTCTGGAATGTGAGGGGTATGAATAAAGGGTATAAGCAGAAGAAGATCAAGTTGCTTTTACAACAGAATAAGACTTCCTTAGAAGGGTTAATTGAAACAAGAGTTAAAGAGTTTAATATCAAAGCTACTTTTAAAGCAATAGCTCCAAGATGAAGGATCATACATAATTATAATGAGGCTGCAAATGGTGGAATCTGGATAATATGGGATGAAAGTTGGTATGATATCAAGTTAATAAACAGCTCAGCTCAAATGATTCATTGTCATATAAATGAAAGGAGCAAAGGATATCAATTTAATCTCACAGTGGTATATGGATTTAATACCTTAGAACAGAGAAAAAGCTTATGGAATGACTTGAGGATGGTGGCTCAAAATGTCTCAGATCCTTTACTCATAATAGGAGACTTTAATGCTATTTTATCCCCATTCAAAAAGAATTTTATCATAAAAAATGGAACCAGTTTAGAACTTAAGCTCATGACAAAGATTTAATCCTTCTTGAGTACAAATCCCTATGAACTTTCCATAAGTTAATCTATCATAAGGGATTTCTGGTTGATCTCCTCTCAAAACTTTCTTAACCCTTTCAGAAAATAATGAAGGCAGACCATCAATAAATCAATTTTTTCCAATAACTTGATTTACTTTCAGGTAGATCCATAACTCTACTCATGAAAGTGTCCTTATACCATCGAAAATATTCCAAATGGTTACATTTGAGTCCATTTAATAAAGTTCGAATTGTCTCATTTTGATTGGAATAACTTCCAAAGTTCGTTGCTTCTCTGAATATCAGAGTTTTCCGAAAGAAATATAATTTCTTTGGCAGTTGCTTTTTCAGAGCATTTTTGAATATCTCCCTCTTTTGCTAAAGAAGCATACATATGACCTTGCTCTTTTGTTTGTAGATATGCTTGTAATTGCTCATATAATGGACTATCTGTTGGAATATCCTTTAAATTGATAGTTGAAGAGAATGATGATGCCTCTTCAATTTTTGAATTATCCAGTCTCTTGTTTCCCAGTATTATGTGAAATGATGAGTCGTATGACGACCTTTGAGAAGACTGAGAGGTTGATCTTCCTCTTCCTCGATTTTCACCCCCTCTGCCACGTGCTTGTGACCAAGGAGGAGGGTCATTTCCTCCCATTCTGTAATAGAAACGAATTAGTGATAATCAAAATAATCATCAAAGTCCAGGTAATAAGGACTAGTGACTTCTTCATAATCATGTATAGAAAAGTAAAAGTCGTCTTGTATTATTGACAGTATCAGTTTATCAAGAATTAATTCTTGAATATCCTTTTCTAAAGGGAGTACCTTTAGAATGGTAATTAGAGTTCTATCATCAAAGAAAAATGCAAAATAGGACGTACTAAAATTTTTGTCTAGGAGGCTAGATATTCTCTGGATAAGAAGTCTGGGAGGGAATTATCAATTCCTTTTTTATATTGAATTTCGAAATCAAAAGGGGCTAGTTGGGCCTGCCACCTAGCAAATATCAACTTTGAAGCATCATGTTTGAAATCTTTATCAAACATGTATTCAACAGATTGACATCTGTTCTAATAAAAAAAATGATTATAAAGATCATCTTGAAATTTTAAGACGCATTGAACAATACAAAGCATTTCATGTGATATAGTCGCATATTTGCGCTGGGCTTCTGTCCATTTACCTGAATGAAAACGAATGAGATATTCATGAATATCATGAGGGTTAACTTGTTAAAGAATCCCTCCATAACCAATATTTGAAGCATCAGTTTCAATAATTTTGGTCCATGCAGGGTTAGCAAGAGTAAACAAGGTAAGGTTTTAATCCTTTGTTTAATACTTCTAACAAGCGAAGTAAGATTCTCATTCCAAGGGCAATTATTGCTCTTTTTTAATCTATCTGTCAAAAGTGCGAGATCTTTAGAAAGATTTTTATAAAAAGGGGAAATGTAATTTAGACTTCCCAAAAATCTTTGTAACATAGTCCTGTCTGTTATAATATCATGAAACTTTGACGCAAAATCAATTGATCTCTGAATAGGAGTAATTTTTCCTTGACAAATTTGATGTCCTAGAAATCGAACATCAGTTTGAAATAAACTCATTTTTGATTTAGAGATAACTAAACCATTATGAATAATAATTTTCTTGAAGATCTCAAGATGCTTAATATGAGATTCAAAAGTTTTTGAATAAACTAAATCATCAATATAAACAATTATAAAATCCATATAAGGATTAAAATATCATTCTTAATTTTTTGAAATTCAGAAGGAGCATTCATCAGACCAAAAGGCATAACATTCCACTCGAATTGACCAAATGGAACATTAAAAGCAGTTCGATAATTATGTTCCTTAAAAAATCTGAATTTGCCAATATCCTGATTTTAAATCAAATTTGGAAAATATATTAGCATCATATAATCTGGAAAGAAGATGTTTCTTATTTGAAATGGGATACCTTATCCATTTTAAAACTTTGTTTAAAGGTTTATAATTTATTACCAACTTGGGAACACCTCTTTCTTGTTCTGCAGCGTTGTTAACATAAAAGGCAGTACAAGACCATGGAGATTTAGAGGGTTTTATAAGTCCCTTTTGTAATAAACTATCAATTTCCTTTTTACAGAAAACAACTAATTCTGCATTCATTTGATAGGGGCGAGATTTTGTAGGAGTATCTGATTCAGAAAAAGAATCTTCATAGGGCAAAGTCACAATATGCTTTTTCCTGTCCCAAAAAGCATTTGGATGATCTGCACAAATATCAGCTGCCAT